GTGTTTCGGACGGCGCATATGAAAACTATGTACGCATGGGTTTGGGTCTGAAGAAGGCTCGCCTGAACCCGACGCTCTGCCGACCATCCTTGAAGGTAAGAAGGCAATTCAGCGCATTCAAAGTCACAAGCACAGAGGAAACGTGACTAGGTAGGAATTGTAAGTCGACTGTTTTATAAATAAAATATTAAGTTATTAGGGGAATTGTGCAGTGTGCTCGAAAAGCCGCAATCATTTAGCCGAATAGCGGGTTTCTTCTGGCTCTCTTGTGTTAACCGCCTTTTATTAGTGTTTTAGTGTTCGTTTCTTATATTGTTGAAGTGACCATATTTTCCGGACCGACTCCGGTCCGGGAAATCTGGGAAACAAAAGAAAATATTGGGTAGCCCAAGATTACTTTATTTTGCTTTTAATCTACTCGGCTATTCAGTCACTTGGGAGGGGAGGAGGGCTTGCTCTAATAAGTGGTCATGCAATTCATAATGCGACTTTCACGGTGCAACCTGTTTTAACATAAACTTTTTTTTACAGTTGCTGACAATATTTGAGGTCACATATTTATTAAACGTAAACATAAATTTTGTTAAATTTTTCTTCCAAAGGTTCATATTCTCTTCAGGAGAGCTTTGTGGAAATAAAAAGCATGTGACCGTCTGTTCTAAATTGAGGTCTATTTTTACAAGTTACGCGATGTTTTCCGTATAAAGTTTGTGTCATGCAACAATTCTTTGTGCCGTAGAAATGCGATCGGACGATGATAATGCTTGGTGGTGGTGTGATGTATTCAAGAAATCTTGGTAGCAGTATGCGAATGTAGAGGCCCAGGAAGCTTTCACGATTCGACATCAAATTAAGGGCTGCCGGGCACACATCTCCACTTTTTCTACGTAAGCGCGAGACACATGCGCGAAAAATCCATCCGATCCGACTTCCGATCCGACAATACGACTGCCTGATCCGAAAAATTTGGTCGCTTCAGACGAACGGATTGCTGTGTCGCATGCAAGGTCGGAAGCGTGTGCCTCAAACTGTCGCGTGCGGCGATTCGGAGCGGCGTTCGGATTGTCGGATCGGACGTCGGATCGGACGATTCTGCCGTCCATGTGTCTCGCGCTTAATAGTCTGCGCAGTTATTCGCATAGTGCGCAAGGACATGCCGGTGGCAGAACGGCCACCCTATGTTATCACCCGTCTCATCTCAGGGGAAGCTCTCCCGTCGCCCGAAGCCAATTATACTATCCCTTCAAACCACATCAGCCTTGATGAACAACGCAGCCTGCACGCTCGCGCGTTCAGCGGCTGCCAAGCACGAAGGCCGATGTGTGCAGAATTCTTGTCCTTTGACGACAGTTTTGGGGAGGGTCACGCTAATTCGGCTTGAGGCTCGTAAAGTATTTGAGGCGTCCCGTCAATAGCACTCCGTTTATTGTCAACGTTTCAGGTTACAATAAGTAGCAGTCAGTACGTTCCTGGAGGTATGAAGCCTGCCATGTCGCGTCCGCGCAAGCGGTTCCTCGTGTCTGCGTTTATTACAGCGGGGGTCATTTTCCTACTTTGCCAACGGCTGGAACGCTTGTCACGTCGAGGGTCGTCTGGACACATTCCTCTTTCGGATCCACCAAAAGATTTCGAAAAATCAGAAGCCGAACCCGATTTACAAGAGCAGAAGACCCGGCGCCCGGCAACTTCCGCAAGCGACGGAGCAAACGAGAATCGAGATGGTCCTTTTATTACGTAGACGCGCGTCACGTGTGGCTAGCCAATGGCGTGCCGCTGCGGCGATCGCTTCTGGTTTCTTCGCTTTTTTCGCTTTTACGGATTACTTTGGGTCAAACGGTTGTGATATTTGGACTCAGAAGGCACAAACACGTCAGAATCAACCATTAACACATTTTTTTCGAAAAGCTCTTCAGCTTCCCTTTAAACGCGAATTCTGTTTTTCTGCGAAATGTCGCGCGAAATGCGCGGACGGATGGACACATTTTCGGGATTGGGTCTTCCGGCGAAAAGCATTTGATGCTTCAATGCTTCAGTAGGGGATGTTGAACTGATACACACACAAAGAAAAACGGGCACTTTGCGCGTCTCTCGCCCGCTGAGTAGAGCGTGCTTCGAGATAGCATTGCGCAGAGCATCTCTACATCGAAATCTGTAAACACAAGAAAATACCCGCACCGACATGTTTTGCGCGTACCTTGTTGGATTCTGGCAGCACAGGGGAACGTGTACACAACAGGTATGCGTAAAGCCTAGTGCTCGTTCAAGTAAAGCTTTTTGAACGCAATAATGGTGAGACATAATTTAACGAGACAAGCATTTCGAGAAGGTTCACGTTTTTGTTTTTTTTTTTAGCTGTCGTTACTTTGTGTTGGTGGAGAAGAATAGCAGTTCTGAACATTATAAAGCTTGAACGTAAACATTTCCCTATGCAACTTGAACGTAAACATTTCTGACAGAAATCTGCCTAGTTTTCCTGAAAACAAGCAAACAAATTCAGAAATGCATCGCATTGAGGCCAGAGGGACAAACAACTAGCGTGCGAAGGATTCCTTTGCGCGTTACCTTTAGAACAAAACAGCAAACTAGTTGTCAAGCGTTTCGAGGTAGGGATACATTGTTACACGCCGTAGGCGAGAAATTAAGCCAGTGCAGTACGAATGCTAGGCTGGGGTCCTGAACGTGCATCACTTAGTAGTAATGCACGTTCAGGCTGCATAAGGAAATGTTGCCTAGTGAAATAGATTTCTCCTTTGTCTATGTAGACAAAGGAGAAAAATATTTCGTTACTGTAAAATATTATGAAGCTACTACGGCTAAAGCTACATATAGTTACATCTGATGAAAAAAAGGAGTTGATGTCGAAAATTTGAAACCCTCATATTTAGGGCTTAGTCGGCCATCTTGCTTTACTTTAAAACATTGACGCAATTAAGCTCGCCTGCCAATCAGAGAGGCAGTGAGCTCTTCCAATGGTTCCCGAGTGTTTTGGAAAAAAGAAAACTAACTACGGCATAGCAGGAAGCGGAAACTTCATAAGAGTGGAACGCCAGCAGTCCATACAATGCGGAAGTTTGATATCATGATGTTACCTGCAAGATATATATAAATAAGAAAGAAAATTCGTCTATTGGCCAATATCCAACTGAACCTAATATTTTTAAAACAAGAAATGACATTGCGGGAACATTCAGCACCTATTTAAAAAAACAAAGTGTAACAGTCAGCATAAAATGAATTATTATCATTCTTGCTGACAAGTGTTTTTTATAGATATAAATGTCACCTGCATTCACAATGACATTCTTGTTTTGACAATATTAAGCTTAAATGAAAGTCACCACGTAGACACATATAGTATTTATATTTTATCTTGTTATCGAGGCGTTGTCAGGTTCACTAACTTCCGTGTTGTAGCTCCACTCCCTCTGGCGTCACTTACTCCCGCAGTTTTCACTTTCTGCGATGAGTAGTTCATTTACGCTTGCCGGAACCACGATCATTTTGTGTCTATTACATCAGGTACATCAGGCCGAAACTCCTTATAAATATCTGTCTAGCGAAAAGCCACATAATAAAGCGTCTCAGATATAGTCATCAGAACTGAACTTCAATAAAAAATATTGTATATAGATTTTTTCTCTCTTGTAAGAATCGAAATCGAATTGTTGCGACACATATTTTGGGTGTCCATCCTGCTCTTTCTATCAGTATCAATGTTATTCAACCATAAAGTGGCGGACGATAAAATGCATGCAAGAATTTTCGCAGATATATGCTTGCCTTTAATGGGTATAGTGTTGAATTGCAAATATATTCGTACATGAAATCGCGGGATCAAGGCACGCTTATAAATCTAGGGAACAAACATTTTTTAGAGCAATCTATAGTCAAAGAAGCAAAAGGAGGTGGTAGATGATTCAACTGAACTCATAACCGGTTAACAACTATAGTTGGAATGTAAATATCTACGGCTGCCTCAATCTGGACATAAATTTCAAAAGAACACAATTGAATTGCAGTAAATTATACTCGAAGTAACGGCAGAGCTAAGATACTGGGTCAAATTATGCACGCAATGCAGTTTCTAACACTTCCGCATGCTTAGTTTAATTGTAATGCCAAATGATAACACATGACAAAACGCTGGGACCAGTGTTGTAAAAGGAACAAATATACAGGGTGTTTTTTAAGCTTAATAAATTAGATTAAAAACAAAGGATCCGTGAAAGCTACACTTATGCGCTTTGTGCAGGTGAGTAATACGGCGAGAGGGACATAGTTAATCGTAACAATCAGTAGGCTAGTTAAGTAAAGCTTGTTCATTAACTTTTTAATTGGTGAAAATAAACATATGACTCCAATCAGGAAGCTGCTGAGCGACATTGAAAGCCACAATATTTTCATTTTATAAATATACTCAGCGCGTGGGAGGCGTAGTAGTGCGCGAAAGTTAACCCTCGTGCAGCAGGAGCAAACTCGTTGTTTTGTTTGAAACGTATTTACTCTACCGGTGCGATAACGCGCCCGCACGATTTTTCCGTCTCTTACTCCAGTCCCAGCCTTGTACCCATTGCACGAGGGGCACCTCTAGGGCAATACATCATTTCCCACACGCACAGAATATTTTCAAATTTACAAATTTAGTGGTTTTCGATTACGCTCAGCAGGTTCCTAATTGGTACCATATGTCAATTTTCACTAATGAGAAGGTTCATTACCAAGTTTTACTTAACGGGTCTGCTGATTGTTACGATTAACTATGTCCCCCTCGCTGTATAACTCACCTACACATACCGCATAAGTGTAGCTTTCACGGTGTTTTTAAGCAAATCTGTTAAGCTTAAAAAAAACACCGTGTATAAGGAGTATGCTACCAAAGAAACGGCTTTTTCTAATTTGGGGATTGTCTAAAGCAGTGTGTATAAAATGTACAAAACACTTCGCCACACGTTTCATGATGGTTTTTTTTTTTCTGAGAGCCTGAAATTGATGAGAAGTAACACATTTCTAATCTGTTTCACTCCAGTCCGATCTGGGCAGAGGAACAGATTGGTTCTTGTGGAAGCGCCTTGCTTCACAAAGAGTCCGTATCCAAGCGCTGAATATGCGTCCTCCTGAAACGAAAGTCGAATCAAACCAAATTTGAGGTTCTCGCGTCTTGCATAACGATGGCGTTCATATTAGCGCGCGTATTTCGTTCCATGGTGCTATCTTGGATCGAAGTTTCTAGCGCATTGAGGCGTTGATATACGCCAAAAGGAGGTTTCCAAAAGGATCCTATAAAACACGAAGGCTGCCGTAGCTATGACAATCAACTTGACGCTTTGAAATACGACCGGTCCACTTTGTATGTGCTGAAGTTTTTCTTCGTGCTCACTAAATCGAGGCGTCACTCGACCACTGATGTGCTTAGAACGGTCGAGTATACTCCGCTTCACTCGGAATCCGGCTGAAGCCGACGCCGCGATCTGTTGGAAAAAGTCCAGCAGCGCCAAAGGTGCTTCTTCACAGCGCCCATCGCCTTGGCGCATTGCTTATCACCGAGCAGGGATCTCCAAAGTTGTTGCCGGATCGGGGACCTCTCGCCGTCTCGAGGACCGAAAAGAGAAACATAGACTTTATCTTTTAATTCAATATTTAGCTAATTATGTCATTACGCAATATCTGGGACCAAGAAAACACATAAGACATGAAAAAAAGCACATAAGAAATGTGGCATACTCGCAAGACACGGAAAACTAAAGAGATTGGTAGAACTGAGGCCGAAGATATGCGATTTGTACAACACAGGACACTAAGCACGATACACACGGGACCGCAAAGGAGTCTTAACAAAGGTAGTTACACAGATATAAAACAGGGGCCTAATACCCCTGTCAGACGGGCTAGTTTAGTGTCACTACAAGCGAGTGCACTTCGCCCTTAGTGTCATTTCTGTAGTGTGCCACACGGCTCCTTCCTGAGGAACACACTTGGCTTGGAGTGAGTTTGACGAACTCACTTCGCTCGATCGAGGGCGTGGAATCAGTAGGAGTGTTTCAACAGTAAAACATAACAACACAGAAACCAAAAGCGTTGCGTAAGTTTTATTTTATAAAGAAAAAGAAATTCGTGAAAGAGACGACATGTAGAAGAGTGGCATTGCAAAAAAAAGTAGTGGGGTGTACTTGGAGTTTAGGCTTCCCTGAATCAAGATTAGCGCAGCGGTGAATTGATCAAAGATGACGACAAAGTCAGTCATTCATAGCTGTCTTGGTTAGCAGAGAATGATAGATTCTACTTTTGTTTCAGAATGTAATTATTTGAGACGACACGATAATTAGGATCTGATTAGGCAGTTTCAGGGCCTCCTCGTAGGCTTCCGTGGAACGAAGCGGAACGCCAAAGCTGGATATGCTTCGTCCTTTATGGCTTGCGATGATCGATCAGAATCATCCAATTGGCGTAAAAATCGTTCATTAATGCAACGTTGTTTTAGAGCACAGCTCCTAGGCACCCCTTTCTGAATTAAGCGGCGTCGGCGTAACCGCGCGTTGCATTAAGGGCTGTTTCCCAAAATGACGTCAAACGTGACGTCACGTGTGTCGTCACGTGTGTCGTCACGTGTGACGTCACGAGGGTAAACTTTTCCCGCTAAATTTTGCGGTAAACGTTTTTGCTCAGTTTGTCGGAAAATTTTTCCGCTAAATTTAGAGGAAAAAGTTTACCCGTTTGACGTCACATTTAAAATTTCATATGACGTGTCATGTGACGTCACACGTCAATTCAGCGGGAAAATTTTCCGGCTAAATTTAGCGGGAAATTTAGCGAATGTTTGACGCTAAGTGGGATGGGAATAGGAGAGGAGGATGGGAGGGTACGGAGGGGGGGCAGCGCTCGTCCTGTTCGCCTTCCTTTTTGTCCTCGTCTTTGTTAGCGCTTTTAAATTTTATGGCATACCCTCCCCTTCGTACCCTTCCTCCCTCCTCTCAAGAGCTGCGCTCCAATTCGGCATTACAGAGAATTGTAAACGTCTAATTTTTTTAACATGTCTTTATTAAGGGGTATCGGTGGCCGAGTGGGCTAGCGCCCATCATATCGGAGTACGTGGAGAGAAAGCTCGCGCTGGAGAACCCAGTGATCCTGAGCTCAATCCCCAGCCCTGCCCGAAGAACACACTTCCAATGAAGTGAGTTCGGGGAGCACACTACGCTCGCTCCTGTAGACCGAGTGTGTAATCTCGATAGCAGTGTTCAAGGAGTAAAAATAATAGAAGAAATTAACGCTGCGTAAAATTAGTATTATTTTGACAGGAGTAATATTAGATGCGCACTTGTTTTCTGCTGGCAGGAAAGTAGTGCACTGTAGAAAAACAAGCGGCTAATCTAGTTTCCAGCCTTGGCCCGTGCGCGACGGCCAGCGACGGCCAGGAGGCACCTGCGAGACTCCACCAGGAATCTGAAGGTGGCAGAAGAGACGCGAAAGGCTTGCTTGAAATGGAACTCGCCCAAATGGGGCAAGGTGTCTTCGAACCACCGTTGGTTCCTCTGGAAAGTCCACCGTTCTCGACTGATCACGGGTAGGTTGTCGGTCATGAGAGCGGCTATGGTGAAGGCACTGGCCTGCAGCTGCTGATCGATGTCACTTGACATTCTTGCCTGTGCGTCGGCATCCAGGTCCAGCTGCCTCTCATCTGAAAGGCGTTGGGCTCTCAAGGAAACAAGTGAACCAACCACGCGCTTCCACTGTCCAACATCGCGGATATCGCCCTCCATCTCGTCATCCACACACTCCATGATGTTTCGTTGTGGCGAGTGGCCGCCGTGCGAGTGGCCAAGTGGGCTCGCGCACATCAGCTCGGAGCACGCGGAGCGAAAGCTCGCGCTGCAGAACCCAGGAATCCTGGGTTCAATCCCTACTTCTGCTCGTTTCGATCTATACTCCGTTTCACCTTATGTTGTACCGCAGACAAGGCTAGAAGCTCGAGCTCATAGCGTTGGGAGCTACTCTTAACGCAAGAGAGCTTGTGCCGCCGAGATGTGCCCTGAGCAAGGAGCTCGCGCTTGTAGCCTTTCCTGCGGTACATTATAAGGTGAAACAGAGTATAGATGAACATTGTACCGGCGTGCGGACGTGTATCACTAGCTTGTAATGGCTGATCGTAATGATCAAGTTGGATTTAAATTTGGATTAAAGCTCGTGACTTAGCGCAACAATGTGTGGTAACGTGTTTCTAATAGGACGACGAAGTTATTTATGAGAAAATGCGTATGCACCGTAATATTTTTGCGTGCCCATTACTTACCCATCGTCATTGCCATCATTTTGGAGTGACACTAAGTTTTCCCGTGTAGCACCAACACACTTGGAGTGTGTTTCGGCGGGTTGAAGTGCACTCGCTTGTAGTGACACTAAACTAGCCCGTCTGACAGGGGTATAAGAATGCTAATGGTGGTGTTGACGCGCTCAATTAGTGATATGACGAGAAGATACCTTAAAAGGGCAGTCCAATGAAAAAAAATTGAAGTTTATTTGGGACACGATGTTTTTTAAACAAAATATATTTTGCTTAAACATATAAGCAACGTAATTTGAAGAAGTGATGAACAACCCTCCTTCTCCAATTTACTTCACCTTAATTCAAAGCGTTGTCGATTCTATGAACCGATGGGGCTAATCAAGCAAAACCAATAACCCGGCGTCCCGGCATTTGGCATCTTTCCGTACGTGTGCTATGATCGGCTATTTGCTTAAGAGGAACCTGTAGATTGCGCTATCGTCTCGCTATTAATAATATTATCTATTCGTACTACCGGCCGCAAAGGGGCAGCGAGGGTAAAAAAGTCATCGTACAAAGATCTTAACGAATAACAGATAGAAAGGTGTAGTCCACTGCATCCATACCTGGTGCACAACACCACATATTCTTACAGTAACCTGACCTCTGAACAAAGAGTGAGAAAAGACGGCATTATCATTTTCTATATGTCGAAAAGCATCCCGCGGCATAGAATAAAAAAATGTACTACATCGCTAAATTAGCAAACCTTAATTATCAAAATTCTGAGAACTCGTTTAATAGGTATAAAAACGAAAAACACGCAATCTAAAGATATATTTGACTTTTCAGGTTGCTATCATGATCATCGTGGTGTGCATAGAAGTATAGCCGCCACGTTTCTACATATGAATCTGCTTTTCACTGACGTTAGTTCCAGGAATGATCAACTTAACTTAAACAAGTGTTTTTGTTCAATTTCTATATGGTGTGATGAGTGGCGAATGATCTTAAACAGCTCTAAATCTGTACAAAAGAAAGTAACCTGCAAAATGTCACCCTTAGAAATACACTACTGAATACAAAGCACCCCTTTACGAAATTGGCCATGAATTCAAGCACTTGGGTGCCATAATTTCTTCTAATCTTAGTTGGAATATAGCTACATATCCTGGATTGTTCGAAAGTCATCAGCAAATCTTTTGTCTCTGAAAATACGGCTCAAACACTGTACCTTCACAACCAAGCTGCAGTTTACACGACAGTCATACGAACTTAACATTAAACGACTCGAGGGGGTTCAGAAGAAAGCATTGCGATTAATTTTGAACGAGGAAAGAAGAGTGAGTTCTATCACCAATTTGTACTATAGATCGAAAGTTGAGTTTTTTTTAACCGGAACGAAAGTAGTCGTCTAAAGCTTTTGGGTGCCATTGTACACCAGTCATCTCGCCTTTTGTTCCGACATATTTATGCAATTTATCACATCTCGTCACACACAACAAGCATTTAAACACAACTGTGGTGCTTACAACGGAAGTGGTTGCTTAAGGAAACTAATTTTTGGGGAGCAAAATCAAATGGAATAATCTTCCCGCCAACAATACGTGTGCCACGTCCGCTCAGGCATTTGTTCCAGCATTACAGCGTTATTTCTGATGTATGCAGTCCTAGATGCTTTTTCTCTTTCTTGCTTTTTTCGCTTGTATGTAACTAGGTTTTCTCGTGTGTATGCGTGTAGAAATAAATAAATAAAGTATACTATCGCGTCTGCCCCACAACGCAGGTGGTAGCAGTCACTGGCTTCAAATACGCAAACGCATGCAGGGAGAGTATACATATCTAAGGTTAGGACGCCCTCCCTACGCTGCATTGCAATGAGCTTAAACGCGCGCAGAAATACGACGGATCCTGCCGAAGTTCGCTTCGCTTCTTGCACTTACTATTTCACCTTATCGGCTCGTGACTTGTGGCAAACGGAGTGTAACCAAGATGCCCGTCGACGAACCCAGGGACGTACCTCGCTTCGTGATCTGCGTGCAGAGGAGTGGGCGGTACCACGTTCACTTCGGGGACGGGCAGGTCGTGCGGATCTCCGTGGTGCCTGCTCAACTCCCGTATCAGTGCGGGTCTCGGCACCACCGGGTAGGGAAGGCCCTCGGACATCTCCAAAAGCGGAAGCGTTTCCCTGGGACACTGGTCGTCCCCGTCCGCAGGTCCGCCCTCAGGATGCCGTCGCGACGTCTGGTCCGGGTCATGTTGGTCCCCATGGTCACTTCTACCCTCCTTCTTGTCTCCTGCGGTAGCAAGGCAAATGCTTGGTTATCTGCAACATACAGTTACTCTGCCCTTTATGCCATTTGGGTGAGTTCAACATTTAGTCAGTGTACTTGATATTTGATTTCGCTCGTTCGTACGACAAGATCAGATATCTGCGTCGAATGCTCTAGCTAAAGCTGTATCCGTTACTGCCACTACGACAGTACGTACCAGTTACTCCGCCCGGCATGTACCTGATCACGTGTAAAACGCAGCAACTTCTAGGAGACGGTAGCACCATCCTGAAGCGAGTAAGCCGCTTCTATGGCGTTGTCAGCAGTTCCATACCTTCAAAAAACAAGGCGCGCTTTTTCCCTCTTTAGCATACCAGAACATGAACAAACAAAAAATATTTTACATACTAATTACCAGAACGTCATACCGAAACCGAACCGAATCTGAAACCGGAACCGAGCCGTTATTTTTAGCAGAACCGGAACTGAATCAATCCTAAATCTTCGCCGCCATCATGGAACAAAACGGGTACTAACCCGGAAAAAAAAATATATAACGATAAGCGGTTCAAAACAGTTCACGGTATTTTTTTTTTGTTCATTTTTTTGTTGGTATCACAATATGAATCTTTGAGAATAAAAAAAAATGGCAGCTGTATTTCTGTGTTGAACAGTTCGTCATAGACATAACTGCAAAGTACGAAAGATTGAGGGTTTTCCTGGCATTTTTTATTGGCACTATGATTAATCGTGTCACGGGGTCACGTGACATCATGGTGTCAAAATATGCTGTCAAGTAATGTTACGTCACGTGGCTCCGTGACGTCACTTGATGTCGGCACGGGGCTCACTGCGTTAAGTCGATTTAAATTGAGAAGGTCAGTAGATTTATTACCGTTGTTGACACAGTGACGGTAAATTACATCACCACTTTGCACCGCGAAGAGAAAAAACGGGGGAGGGGGGAGCGGTGAGGGGGCACTTTTTTAAAATGTACTGTGTGTGTAAAGGTTCCTCTGCCCGGCACCTTCAGCATACACCAGAAAGTGTGACCCCGGAAACTACTTTGTTTGCAAAAACGCACTTCCCATAAAGCGCGTTTTTGTGGTGACAGACGCTCGCGCTATCCCTCGGGACGTTGCACCAAGCAAGAATAATGTGTGTCTCTCAAATACGTGGATTCCACTGAGCGAGAGCCTTCTGCAGCGTGTATTTATCTTTACCGGATTTGAGTTTCTCGGAAAGAACAAACCGCAGTGACCACCAGCATACAGGGGGATGACGTCACGTGCAAACCGTGTTAAACACTTCAGTTTCCGGGTCAAATACAATGTCTTAAACAGCAGCAGAATTATGTGTCCAAATCGTGAAGTTGGACCGTATATATAGCAGTTTTGTGATGATATACGGCAGAAAAATAAAATTTTAGAGGACATGACTTATAAAGCACAGAGTTATAAAATGAAGGGCTAAAACGTGCGCGCAAAGCCAACTTCCGAGGCCATATTTGCCGTAGTTTAAAGTTCATTCAAGGTGCAGAAATGTGATAAGCTGGGTGAGTTGGCATGACGGATGAGTGAACAGAACAGTGCACAAAAAGACAACGACAGAAAAACGGAACATGTGCGACACACAAGCGCTAACTCGCAAGTGAATTTATACACAAAAGGAATGAAGCGAAAAATGGGGACTCTAACCAAAAATTTACTAGACATTTACCCGACGTTTAGGGACCAGTTCAGTCCCTTGTTCACGGGTGAGTGAGGAAAAGAAAAGAACACGCGTCGCCTAAATGCACGTACGGATGTAGCTCACGTCACGCAGTCCCGAGACGTAGGTGCTAGGCAGGGAGCCCGAAGAGCGATTCACGTTCAGGAAGAAAAGAACGCGCTGAAAGTCGCGCACTATCAGTGCGTGTCACACACGACACTACATCATCTAAGATGCATTTGCCCCTAGTCCGATCTAAAAACAAGGTTTCTTTTCGAAGCAATGTCACTGATGCGTGGATAATGCAGCGGTCACCCAAGCTATTAATGCAATGCGCTTCCAAAATTGCGTGAGTCATTTTGTCTCGATAATATCCAACTATTATTGTGCCTTTAAGGACTGGAGACCACGAGCACGTATTGCCATGTACAGGAAAACGACCGCCTACCATAGGTGTCAGTGAACGATCATGCTCGAGAGAGAGAGAGAGAGAAGTGTTGAAAGGAAAGGAAGCCTGGATCATGCTGGAGAACGCGTTTATTCAGGCACCGGAAGGTTTATCCCACATAGCTTCTACCACACACCGAGTTATTATAACGCCCAAATCAACTACGGCAAGCAAAAAAAAAAACTAAGCCTTTTTCCGCCGGTGGTCAATATACCTCTTTGAGAGACATGCATGTGCAGGCAGAGCTCAAAAAGCTTTTAGGCCTTTGGCGCAAGCTCTGCCTTCAACCGACTCTTCAAACCCCGAGCCTCTGGCGCTAACTAGAAAAATAGCATACGAGGTAAACGAAGATGTTCTTCCGCGCTGTATTTATAAATATGTCGACGCACTTGGTGGCGCTAATACTCATCCTACACATATATACGATCCTCGGCCTCTAATTTTCATTTTGGCCGATAGCAACCTTCGAGTTCTGAAGGCTGATAAGGAAGGACTCTTGTATTGATGCCGTAAGAACACTATAATGAAAAAGCCTCTGCCGGCGTGAGCAATAACTTCAAGCAGGTACAAGTGCACCTAAAACAGGCTAAGCCGCAGTCATTAGAGCTCTGTGAGCACCTTTCCTTGACACAATTGGCCGGAAACATCAAGAAAGCAGCAGCGCTTCACCTTCAGGTGTTTTTCAGTGTAAAAAAACCCATAAGGAAGCCTGTTCATTCTGTGCCATCATCACTGAGAGAGGCACGTGGCAGCGCCAGATGGCGAACTTTCTACAAAAACACCTATCCGGTTTGCGAATTAAGGAGCCCCTTTAGTCAGCGATGTTGGAGCAGTGGGGGAAGCTTTTAAGAACAATGATGGCAACCACCACTCTGTGTTCAGCGTTAACGTACAAGACCGTTTTAGAGCGCAGCTCTTAGGGGCCCGTTCCCGGCTTGAGCGGCGTCGCCGTCGGCGTCGGCGTCGGCGTAACCAAGGTCATCCCAAGGTCACGTGACCCCCAAGGTCACGTGACCCCTCCCAAGGTCATCTCAAGGTCACGTGACCCCACGTGACCCCCTGAAGGTCACGTGACCCCTCGAGGTCACGTGACCCCTTCCAAGGTCATCTCAAGGTCACGTGACCCCAAGATGACCCCACGTGACCCTTTGAAGGTCACGTGACCCCCAAGTCACGTGACCCCCGAGGTCACGTGGTCGCCTCCCCAAGGTCACGTGACCCCCGAGGTCACGTGACCCCTTCCAAGGTCATCTCAAGGTCACGTGACCCCACGTGACCCCCAGGTCACGTGACCCCTCTGAGGTCACGTGACCCCCCGAGGTCACGTGACCCCTCCAGGTCACGTGACCCCAAGGTCACGTGGGGGTCACCTTTGGGGTCACGTGGCCTTGAGGTCACCCCCAGGTCACGCCTCCCCGAGGTCACGTGACCCCCTCCCCGAAGTCACGTGACACCCCCCCCCCCCGGAGCATATTAAAGAATGGGGGGAGGAGGAGGAGATAGTGGCCGATTTTGCTTTTTGAAGCACTCAAAAACAATCCCCAATCCTTTGTTTCGCGAAAAATAAAATATTTTTCGTGTAATTTTACTCTAGCCATGATCACAAAACGAAACCGAAACGGTGGCAAAGCCTCAGTACCCTTCACTCCTCCTCCTCAAGAGCTGCGCTCCAATTCGGCGTTACAGGGATTTGTAAACGGCTTTCACTTTTTATTCCCTTCCACACGAAGCATTCTTGGCCTTAGTCAAGTACTGGATTGAAGAGAAAGTGCCGCTCGCCTTCAGAAACTCTAGTGTTGTGTCTTTAAAAGACTTTCTAGAAGACTATCTAAACTCTATGATCGTCGGGTGGAAAAATTTTACATTTTTTTCAGCGGTCAGGTGTGTGTAAAAGATCATGTGTGGCCATCGTGTTTAGTGATAATTTTCCAGCAAATGTTGATAGAACAATTGATGGTGTCTTCAGCACATCACAAGTGTCTCGATATGTTGATGATGTTTTGCTTGTGTTTCGCAAGCCTGCTGAAGGTGATAATAGCGATAAAGTTATGAACGTATTTTCCAGGTATTGATTTGGTCTTAAGTTCACAGTTGAAAAACATTTGGAGGGGAAGTTACAATTCATAGGCATTTTGTCATCTATCCACACAAACCATATCTACTGCAGTTTCTCACCTAGGTCATAAAAAGGCACCTTTCATTATGCGTCAGCATATTTGAAAGTTTTTAAAAAGGGAATTGCGATGTCCGCACTTTGGTCTGCGCTTACGAATTCCTGCTTTCACACTGTCCGGAATAGTTTTAATACTTAAAGGGCAACTCCGCTTAATTTCAAAAATTTTGAGATAGTGGCCGATTTTGCTTTTTGAAGCACTCAAAAACAATCCCCAATCCTTTGTTTCGCGAAAAATAAAATATTTTTCGTGTAATTTTACTCTAGCCATGATCACAAAACGAAACCAAAATGGTGGCAAAGCCGGACAACATTGTATATTCGGCATCACTAAGCATGTACACCCACGTGATATACAAGGGGAAGAAGGAGCTCCCCTCTTATCAGGATCCTCCTTTGTGCCTCCTGGATTAGCACAGGCGTCGCTATTCTCCTCCCAGAAGATTATAGAAGATTAACCTGTCACTCAAAATTCTTACAAAAGCAGCTTCCCTCTCCTCCTTTTACTTGGTGTTCAAAAGTATGCGATGTAACACAAGCCGCGCTCAACGAGGCGATCGGCTTATCAGTAATATCAATAGTCGAGCGCCGGGCCGGCCGAGCGCGTCACTCACGTCTTTCACGGCGCTGGCGCCACCCGTGCTCTCCCCGGGAAAAAAAAACAAAATTGAAAAAAAAAAAGAAGCTGTACATGTTCGATGACGTCGCGGACGTGCCGGGAGAAGGAATTTGGAGGAAGCGGAAATGCAGCCGGGCAGTGTTGTCTGGCCCGCACGTCTCATCCAAAACCAGCGGATTCGTGCTTGTCAAACTTTGACAGCGATTTTAATGGGCTTCTAGGCGGAATTCCGTCGTAATATTTGCCATGGGGGTTTTGTAGATGATAACAAAGAGAACTGTATAGTTTTGCACTACTAAAAAAGAAGCGGAGTTGCCCTTTAAAGGGCAACTCCGCTTCATTTTTGGTTTTGAAAAAAGAATGCAGGTCCTCTTCAGTATCGCCTAGGAAGACCACAGGTGAAATCTTACGACGCAGTTCTGTCTAAATGTTTATTAAACGGTCCGGCACACTTTGCAACTCGCCATGTTGCCGAAATCGGCTGACTTGAGCGGGCGAATTCAGGCGCAACCAACAGCGCAGTCAAGGCTACGGCATGGGCGGACCCAACATTGAGCTAAACGCCATCTACATGGCCCCCTTTTGCTTGTTTTCACTTCTCCGGGCGAGCGTAGCGCATGACGTCAGCAACGTTGCCTCTCGGCGCTCAGCAGTGTCCACGTGACTGGCGTAACGCGCCTGCGCAGCGCGTTTCTTGGGAGCCGTCCGGCCGCCCGCCGTGGTCCCGCCGTTACCGCCGTCTTCCGCGTCACAACCGCCGTCGTCGTCTCACCGATTGTGATTATTGTCTCTCGGAGTTTCGTCCACACTACGGACACCACGTGCGCGCAAACTTATGCCGCAGTTGTGCAGACGTCGTCGAATGCCGTAGACACCAGAACGTGGCGAAGAGTGCGGTGCAGACGACACTCGCGCCTGCCACACGCCCGCCCCAATCCCGCCCGTCGTTGGGTCACGTGACATCTCGTACCACGTGATGGCCATGTACTTGGCGACCCGAGGCCAATGTTGCCGGGCGGAGCCGAAGTTTCGGTTTCGATTTCCGCTTGTGTTTAAAATCAGATTTAAAAATATATATCTCATTTTTCGCGAAGCAAACGACGTAGTGTGTTTTACTAGGGCTTTTTAATTCGAAATCAATCATTGTCCCAAAATCTTCGGAATTGAGCGGAGTTGCCCTTTAAGTTAAGATACGTTTTAAACTAGGTGGTGGGGACCTTGGTACGTAAGATTAAAGTGGTTCAGCGAAGAAAACCTGCAGATCCCAGGAAACGAATGGTAGTTGCTCTTTAGTTGCAGAAAACATCGCATAATTTAAAAATAGCAGCCAGAAGGTACGATTGTGCCCGTGGTGTTTTCAGTTCTCAAAAGAATGTCACGAATCTGTTTCAAGATTCGCTTAGTAACGGAAAATCTTAAAAAAGCCAAGTTCCAGACAGTCCACAACCACCCTTATTTATCGTGTTGAATTGGCGTTGTGTGACAAATCGCACTAACCTGTGGTAGAAGCTATGTGGGCCAAACCGGCCGGTGCCTGAACGATGGCCTACTTGAGCATGATCGTTTACTGAAATTTACGGTGGACGATAATCTTCCAGCACATCGCAATACCTGTTCCTTTTTTCGAATCCTTAAAGGCACAACAATAATTGGACATTATTAAGACAAGGCGACTCGCGAAATTTTGGAACCACATTGCATTAACAGTTTGGGGAGTGCTGCATTATCCACTTATCAGTGACACTGCTTCAAACAGAAACCTTGTTTTTAGATCACACGATGGGGCAAAGACATCGTGTTAGATGGAGTTGTGTCATGTGTGACACGCACTGGCACTGCGTGACTCTCAGCACGTCCTCTTCTTCCTTTTGTGAGTACATTCACTTGCGAGTCAGGGCTTGTGTGTCGTGTATGTTCGTTGTCACTGTCGTTGTCTTTTTGTGCGGTATTCTGTTGACTATGTACCCGTTCCATGATTTTATGCGCTGTAATTATGTATTTAGTTGAGGAGCACAACCACTATTAATATTTTATTACTGCTATGCATAATTGTAGCAGTCGCAGGTATTTTAGGTGACCTACCTCACTTTGTGACAACTTTTCGAGTCAGGTAAAATATATCTGACTGACATAAACAAATGGATGCTGGGCCATATAAACACGACGTTTTGTATGTAATATAAATTTAGTTTTATTGTTTAATAGAAATAGCTACCGCAATTCCTTATTTTTGTTACCTGCAACTAAAAGTGGATTGTTCTAACATTAAAAGAAGAGTTACTTGTTTCACAACGGAAATAATGAGTATTGCAAAAACAACGCGAAATAATATTCTCATTATTCCGGTTCAAAGCGGTTTGAACCGGTATTTTTGTTCCCCGCAACTGAATTGAAACTGAACCGAAAGCTGTGAACCCGAACCTGAACCGAACTGATAAAACGTTTAGTTCGACACTGCAGGTCTTTATATTCTCAAGAATGAGGCTCGCAAGCTGGGTGGAACGGAAAAAAGCTTTAGGCCGTCTTCATAAATACACAGTGCTGCACCCACCAAGTGTATACATTTCATCTCATTCAATTTACATAAACTCCATACTACAAAACAAAATGAGATCTCAAGGATACGATTTAAATGTTTAAGATTGTTCACGCTAACCAAGTCACTTTTTTCAGAGAATGAAAACTCAGCCACATTTCTATTCTCCGAACCAACAGCAGTAGAACCACCCAGCATTTCAGCCATGTCTAGTTAGTATGATCCTCATTATTATTAACGAAGTGAACTAAACATTCCCGGACCAATCTGCCTACATAAAACTCTCCCGTTAATATAAAATCCTGTAGTTAGGACTATAAACAACCAGTTTAGAAACGAACTGCGTAGATATCAGCATTTCTGTCCCCTCTTTTAGACTTGTAAGAACTTGAGATTGGGCGAGTTGGTGGTTCATGTTTGTCGACGTTTAGCGCACTCGAAAAACTGTCATTCAAGCATTCACACACCCAAAGAACACTCCTTTCACAGAGCGCTCACTAACAACTTTGTATTTCGTGTTTTACTTCGGCTTCTACTTCTTCAGATTTTGGACGATTTGCAAATAGAAAAAGACGACATAAGAGTAAAAAATTCCTGTCTAACGCTTAGGCTAATTCGTGGCTAAATGATTTTGACAGGGTTCACGTACGCAAAGATAAAAAAAAATTGCCATATCTCTTAGGTGACGTCATCCGGAGTTATGTTGGTCGTTACCCTATTTGAGGCAGATATAAAACCTGGGCACCAAATGTGTTTTTCTAAAAAATGAGGTGAAAAGGGTCACTTCTCCCTCCATCCCTGTTGTTGCTTAAGATTGTGATGACAAACCATTGGAGCACTCATAGGTCATGTGCTCTTCTTGATTATTAAAGGCAATACATGACACTCCCCTGGTTATTAGAAGGAATATGCATTTATCTCAAATTAGTAGACTCAAAATTCTGTGTTTAAACCAATATTAATTCATTTTGTGGTAAAATAATTTCTATATCCATATCCTTGTTTGTTGTCTATTATTTTTATTTGACCTTGGTTAGCATTTAAGACGACCCCAATTACGGATGATTTATATGGTAAAAGAAGGCGGTAACATTAGCACAAAGAACATGTGTGTTTGACGACGCGGAATTTTCGAAAGCACCAGTGCAGACAGGAGACACAAGCTCAGATGCGTACAAGAGCTCCTGCTATATTCAAGTTATTGTTACAACGTATTCCGACAAGTAATATTTTTTCTAATATTCAATGGTCTACTGACTTACCATTGGAACATGCGACTGAAGTAGGCTGGCCTCTAAATTCAAAGCGAGAGAGTTTGGTTGATATCCTAGCCCATGTTAGACACGAAAGAAGGCTTAGGTCTATGCTTTTTTTTTATAACGTGCATCGGAGTGCAGAAAAACGCGAGAGGATGCACAAATTTACACACACAGAGACGAAAAGCGTAAATGGGATGGCGCTTCTAGTTTGACAAATAATCCACTGGCTTTGAACAACCACAACCAGGGGGTTATCACCTAGTGGTGAAAGTCAAATCAAGTAAAACAGTTTTACGTGAAAAACAAACGAAGGGTATCTGGAACGCCAAGGCAAAATACAGATACATCATTTTGACCACCCATGGTTCCCTTGACGTGCAATCGAACTTTCGGTTATACGGCGCCATCTCCAATTAGAACCCGTCATCTGGGGAGACGCAGGCCAGCGCATCAGTCAAAAATCTTTTTTTTCTTTAGACACTTTTAGTGCTTCCAGACTTGGACTGGCGTCATGGAGTTACAATTGGCTCATTGCCCAGAGTGCCTCGACACGCGGCAGCCACTCAGGCACTACACGCTGGGCCAAAATTAAACCTTGTTTAATTTTTTCAATGATAAAAATTACAATTTAGTTTTGGGTGGTGATTTCAAAATCGATATAAGTTCTGACTGTAGCTCGAGAAATTCTTTTTCAAACCTCATTGAGTCATGTGGATTATCAAATGTTATAAAGCACCCTACAAGAATAACTAACACGTCATCCTCTTTGCTTGATCTGTTCATAACCAACTACGAAGACTCGGTGGTAACATCGGGGGTTCTTTCAACTGATATAAGTGATCATCTTCCCATTTATTCTTGCTTGCAAAAAAAACATTCCAATAAAAACCGTAGCGACTGCGTTCCTGTGGCTAGAGTTCAGCCAATCTCCCCTGACCAGTTGCGCCGTTTTCGAGAAGACATTGAACGTACATCTTGGCAACACATTTTTTTCTACAAATTCAGTTAATTCCGCATATAATTTATTTTTAGATATATTTAGTGCAATATATTCTAAACATTTCCCTTTTGTCAATCTCAAAGCCACTAAAAAGTCGCGTAGACCTTGGATCACGCCTATCCTACTATCAATGATACGAAAAAAGAATTTGTTATGTAATCATTTTTTAAAAACTAGAAAAAATAGTCGACTTGTAATCTTTAATTATTATCAGAATAAATTAACAAGTCAGCTAAGGACTGCTAAGCGTGACTATTACAACAGACGTTTTGATCCATTAGAAACATTGAAACCTGATATTATGCGGAAGAGAATCCGATCTTTAATAAACCATAAGCCACCCCAAAACGTACCTCGTGAGGTAACAATAAGCGGCGCTCAAATTACAGACGTCACCATGGAAAACGCGTTTAATGAAATTGTAGTGAGTGCGCAGGCGAGCTGGTGGAAATTAACCATTCTGTAGTTAGCCTGAGACTGAGGCAGGAAAAGAGGAAGTTTCAAAGTTTTAATGATTTTTTTGTAAATGTTAATACGTCGACGTGTGTGTCATCCTCCTGTACAAAAAAAGCCCTAGAGTTCATAAAATCGTCGCAGACGAATACAATGTTTTTGTCGCCCACTGATGAGGCAGAAGTCTGCTCAACCATCATGAATCGTAAAAATGGTAAAAGTATTGACGCCGATAAGATGCAGATAAAACCAATAAAATATGTTATTAATAAAATTTCACCATATCTGACATATATATATAACCTTGCTCTTGAAACTGGGGTATTCCCACTTAAAATGCAGGTATCAAAAGTTAGTGTCCTACATAAAGGCGGTGATATGTTCGACATATGCAACTATAGGCCCATTTCAATTCTTCCTGTCTTTTCTAAACCACTCGAGAAACTTCTACATCGACGACTCCTAACGCATCTCGATTAACATGCTTTAATTTCTGAATCACAATTTGGATTTCGTAAGCATCGATCTACTGAAATAGCATTGCTGAATCAAAAATAACTGATTTTAAAAGCATTCGACGCAAAAAAGACAACATTGGGCGGTTTCCTCGATTACTCAAAAACATTTGATTCAATTAATCATGACATTTTCCTTGCAAAATTACCATTTTATGGAATAACAGGTATAGCACATGATATTTTGAAATCCTACTTATTAAATAGAAATCATTACTTGTCTTTTCCAAATTTTCATTCAGATAGGCTAGCGATAACATCGGGAGTTCCCCAGGGCAGCATCTTAGGCCCATTGTTATTCATTTTGTACATCAACGACATCGCAAACGTGACTCAAAACACTGATGTAAAACTGGTAAATTAAGCGGACGACACCAGCATTTTTTCTTCCCATGACCATATCTGCACTTCCATTTTCGCAATGTAAGAGGTGTTACAACAAATTACTGCCTGGACACTAAACAACAAATTAAAGTTAAATTGTAGTAAGACCAAGGCTATTCTGTTTAAACCTAGAAATAAAAGGAAAAACGATCCACTTTGTCTTAAAATCAATAATGAACAAATTGAATTTGTAAACTGTATTAAAATACTGGGTGTGTTGTTTTCACAAGTCATGAGCTGGAATGCTCACACAGATTATATCCAAGCAAAGCTATCCAAGAGCGTTGGCTTAATAACAAAGTTTAAAACAATACTTCCTACTTATATTAAATTAACTATTTATAAATCGTTAGTTTGTTTCCTTTTAAATTACTGCAACCTTATTTGGGGCACCACAACCAAAACAAACCTGGCAAAGTTGCTCCTTTTACAAAAAAGGGCTGTACGTGCAATATCTTCTGTTCCCTCTCTCCATCCTACTGCATCATTATTTAAGGCCCTAAAAGTAAAAACAATTCAGGAAATATATACGTTTAAACTTTTAACAATGCATCGTAGGGCTTTTCAGCAAAACAACGTTCATTACATTCACTTAGCTAACATAAAACATCGCATCATCCTGCGCGACCTTGGGCAAAATCAGCCCTGGGTAATCAGTCCATCCCGCACAAATTACCTTGATCAGACGCTTCATTTTAATTTGTCCACCATGCTAAACACTCTGTACAAAAAGAGTATAAATTTAGAGGCACTTTCACATAAAGGGTTAGTAAATTTAGTTTTTTCTCTATGACTTTTTGAATACTGGCGTTGTTTTTATCATGTTTGCTTTCTTCGTGTATTTGCTGACCGCTATTGTGGTTTATTGCCGGGTATTGTGTTTCTTTTTGTTGTTTTTTTTGCCTAAAGTGCTCATTACACGAAACATTTGTATAAGATGTGTCTACATTTATGTAATATTTAGTTGTTTTTTTCTGTTTCTTTTTTGTTTTTATTTGCCTTTTTCCTATTCCGAACTGCACGGGGGCTGGGACCTTCGTCAAGCAGCTACGCAGCAGCTTTTTGTCCCAAGTCTCCTGTTTTCATCTAACGACATGTGACAACAAATAAAACTTGATTTGATTTGATTCAGTGGTAGAGGAAACATGTCTTCTGACCAACCATAATGTGCGAGTAATCTCCTAGCGGACGCGTCGAGGCAACAATTTAAATTGTACTTGATTATTTTGTTACAACGCAGCTAGTGTTGAAGATAATAAGACTCTTGGTCGCTGCAAAGGCGTGACACTTGATGTCCTGATCAATAATACGATGCAAGCAACAATCTCCGAGTCAGTTTAGAATTTCTTATTCGTCTATTCTTTCACTCCCCTGACGTCACGATTCCTAGGTATTATAGTAAATGAGAAAATGTAATGTTTTTCTCTTACATTTTTACGCACTCGGGTTGAACATGTGGCCCTGGTGGCGAAACAGTCGCTACTGTGAATAGGCCTTCGACACATGACTCTCTGTGTCTGCACCACGTACTCAGCATCAACCTTGTTCTTTGGGCATTACCAGCAGAGTTGCTTTCTATTTCTATGGCGTCTTACAAAGCGGGGGATCACTCATTCACACCAGGTGTCTGTATGAAGTGAATTGCGTGCCGGCCTAATAAGGAGTGATCTCAGTTCTGTTAGGACTACTAGACTAATAATATAAGTATGTGGTTTAGACACATTTAGTGGCGTCTGATGGAATAAACCTTCTAGCAACAGGTACTATATTGTGACGCTTTGGTGTTCACAAATTAGTATCGCAAAGGCGTGACACATAAAGTGGCGTTTTCATGCTCACCTCCTTTGCTCACTGTAATCTTGGGTACATCTTTTCCGCTGCCCCTTCTTTTCTTGAGGCTGTGCCCGTCGACATGACGCAGCTTTTCCACAGATTTTAGGAGAGGTTTGGGAGTCCTGGGCGTAACAATAAATCGGTGTTACGATAGCATGCATAAAGTGGACATTCTCAAGGGCATGCGCAGTGTAGTCCCAATCGGATTGCTCTGCTTCAATTATAGCCTCGACAGTTCACGGAAAAACCATCGAACAACCGTTATTTTTAGTGTTGAAGCCAGAGATGACAATACACCAGTCGATTTGCACACCCCTAGAATTTATGAAAGTAGGGAGAGCCTTAGAGTCATGTCTGTCAGGTTGCCCTTTTTTCACCATGTACAAGGGAGCCGTATTATTGCAGTACGATCCGAATATTATTACAATAGCGTGAAGTTCGGGTCCCAAAATTGATGCTTGTCGCATCGTCGTGCTAACGTCCTTCTTACATGAACTCTGCCTCAGCAATTATTAGATGACACACTGACCACAGTGTAGGGCGAAATAACTCCGCACTAATTGATTTCTTGGGGAATCGTAGTGATCCTCGCGGACAGATGCCGCTCGAAGCATCTTGGGTACTGTTCGTCCACTAAGTTTCCATTTTCATTTGCCAAACCCACATGACGACATCCCATCATGACGACACGCAGTGCTTGCATTTTCCAATAAGCAACATTTCTTACGTTTATAATATAGTAGGTGTTGCCTATCGATACGAATAGAGTGCTGGGACATTTTTTTTGTTCATTTGTACGCAAATATACCCAGGACGACTAAGTGCATAGAAGTAGCATACTAGAGCGTTGATCCTGTTCCATCGTCTCCCCAATGGCATATACTTCTTAAATTATCCGTGAGCCGGGAGTATCATGCCGCACTTTGGAGTGGTAGCCAGACCGACAGAAAGGGACGGGACACGGCCGGCCGTACTCCCACTCGCCAAGCATAGGCAGGCCCTTACGGTCATTGGAGATCCGTGTTTCAACAAGGGCTCTCACAAATGTGACAGGGCAAACTGCAAGCGCGCATCCACTTTATTTTCATCTCGTGCTGAGAAGCACTACTGCGTCAACGGGGCGATCGAAACCGAATCCATACAACTCCTCTCCATGGCGAACCAGGCCCCTTAATGCAATGCTCGCAGTGTTCCGTGCTGGGATTGGTGGGAATGAAATTTAATGTCGCACCACAAAGTGCAGTTCGCCGTTCATTCGATGATTGACTGGCTTCCTGTGCAAAGCTTTCATTTTAAGTTTTTAAAAAACGAAAAATATAAGTATATTTTGCCACGGCTCGTCTTTTTTTTTTTAACACTGAATGTCAATAGCATTTATTTAAACTGAATGAAGGTAAACGCACATTTAGATGGAGCATGAAGATTATTTATTTATTTATTTTTTTGTTTTTGTGGCGTGAATTTTTTTGCATCGCTGAAAAGAGGTGACTGAAATCTTGTTCGCACAGTTCGAACTTTTTTTTTTTTTGTTATACGGCATGGGAGACAATTTGAAACTGATCATTAATCTTTCGAGAAACAGCCCAAGGACCCGATGACGTTGCAGTAAAAGTTACGAAGTCCTAGTTTGGGCGCCATAGATTAAGTTGTCGTGAATCTTGTACGGAATATTCAATAAATAAGATTTCGACAGAAAGTGAGTATAAACTGTTTCGGAAGGCTCAGCGATCATTCCGCATAAACTTACGTGACCCCCCAAAAAAAAAATTAAAAGCAGCACGCATATTCCAGATTCTGTCCTTTATCGAAGAAGCAAGATAGATACCTTGGAGACACGGGCTTCTTCTTTTCGGCCGAGGGCGTCCTGCTTCCAGTCGGGGCGTCGAGACTGTGGCCGTCTACTAACGGTTCTTCGTCCGAATTCTGAAGGTTGTACTGGACTTTCCTCCCACGAGCCTCTGCACATGCCAATGCAGTTCATTTAATAAAATATTTCCGGAATATAGAGGACCTGTAATACAATACTAGGTGCGGCCAGTATTTAACGAGAAACACAATAGTAAAACAAAAATCGATAGAGACATCTCATACCCCATTCATAAGGGTAGTATAAAGGTACACTTAGCATAGGTCCCTATCGTAAAGGGAGAGTGAGTTTGTATTCACACGGCGCACGAAGGTCCCTTTCACTAAAGGAGGGTTTAGAATAAACGGAGGTCGCAGACCTCTCTTTACAGCTACAGAGAGTAGCCTCAGACCCGTGAATTCTAAATAAAAATCTAGCACATATGTTTCTGCTTTGTTTACTGAATTGTTATAAGAAGAATACTTGCGAGGCAAAGGCTAGAAAGTAAACGGGAGCGCAAACCTGATGGAAGATGGTAGCGACAAATTTATACTCGCGACAGCGGGCAGCAGCGGTGGCTTTGAGTAGTGAGTGCACTCTACTTTGAGTAGAGACGACGAGTCGTCCGCTTCACCTGCCCAGAGCATTCTTGTGACCATGATTTCGCCTGGTGTACCTGTGAACTTGGGTGCCAGCACTAGCGGCACCAGTAAGAAAGGCCCTCGAGTTCACTGGTCCCAGGGGGAAACATGGTCGCTAATAGACCGATCTCACCAAGCGTTCCAGGCATGCGTGACGCCGCCATGACTGTAGTTCGTAGGAGGCAGACGCCAGTTCACGCGACAGCTCGTGCTGCCTCGTGGTCTGCTCGCGCAGACCTCCAGCAGGGTTGTCGCGCATGCAGAAAGACTACAGCTCCCACTATGCCCATCGGCAGCGGTGGCGTACTCAAACTAGCTGGTGAGATCGGTCTATTCGTCTCCGGGAGGACAGCATCGGCGAACACCAGCGACAAAGGAAGTGTACGAGACGATCCGCCTCGGTCTCAAGAGCTTCTCTATTGAGGAGACTCGGAGGTAGACGCAAATAAGTAGCAGAGCAAACTCCGGGAAACATGAGGAGTTGCCGATCCCGTTTCTCACCTTGTCTACCTCGGCTCCGTATCTCCTTTGGGTTCAGATTAGATAACACGGCAGGCACGTCGGCCACACCAGCGAGACATTCTAAGGAAAGGCTGATGTTTTACTTGCACCATGCAACAAAACCAATAAGACAATTATTATTTCGTTTTAAAACATATTTGACTTCTAATACAGTAAAGGATATGTCTTAAGCCTGTTTGTACCAAAAATATATATTGCTCATTCGCCCCTCGGTTTAACCAGACTATCCCCGCTGCGATAACCATCTACCATAAAGTCCTCGTTTATTCGCCGTGTGATCCGAAACGCCTTTTGATACAAGTACGTTTAGGGACCTAAGCTACAGGTCCTTTAGGCAGCCCGTGTGGGATTGCAAAAGCTGCTTGCGTGTGGGATTGCAAAAGCATTCCTGCACGCAGCGCATTCCTACAAGCAGTGCGCCAGGTCTTCCTTTTTTCAGACTGCGCTCCGGCGGTGACATCACGCTCCCCTCTGCGGAGACGCGGCGAACCCCGCCGGCTTCACGACGGCTTCCGTGACGAAACATCTGCGTTCCTGTGCTTTTCTTTGTGTTTTATTTCTGAGGCGCGACCGCTTTGATCTTGAGCGGCGCGTGCTTGATGGCGCATTTTTATGACCATCTTTCGGGCATAACGCTGTCGCTTTTTTGCGTAATGGGACGAGTAAGGCTTTCGCCTTTAAATTAATAAATGACCTTCAAAACCCACGTATTTCTACAAAATTGGCTATCAAACTCTACAAACCTATGCTCTTCAAGCTCAATCAAAAAATCGGTCATTCGCTTTAATTACAGCGTCCTCCCGAAGCGTCTGCTATACTTGATAAGGTGGTCCTTAGTGATGTAAATCATTACATCCAAAAATGGAAGATTTCAGCTCTCATTGACGTCAAGTAATTGGTGACAGACTCTAGATTTCTGAGGCTGGTTGGATATATTAATTACTGACAGTGCTTGGCACATGAATTTGCGTAATATATTAAACTCATTTCTTCATATATTTGTCATCGTGCTGGATGCCGTTGAAGTGCCAGAAGCAATAAAATTTGAAGAACTCTCACTTTGTAAAATGCCACTTTGAGTTTAGCGATCGTTTTGCGTTTGATTAAAAATAACGATAAAAGGAACCTGATTATCTTTTAACCAGGCAAAAACTCAAAACCGTAAAACAACCATGGCCATTTACCAAGCACATAATTACGTCAACCTAAAAAAAGAAGCTCTAAAACATACCTGTTGCTTGCACATTTTACAGAAACTTTGCCCTTGAGTTCGAAAATAGCCGCCTTGGTGACTCCGAGGCCAAACACTGGCCTACGAATCCCGAGGTGGTAGGTCCGAATCCCGGCTGAGGCTCCCGCAATATGACTAAGGTCCGTGCCACACGGGCAACTCGAATACCATTTACAACGAACGACATTTGCGTGATCGGCGAATCAGCTCGCAATCTGTCGCGCGTGGAATGCGCCACGCCCGGAGTGTCGCGCGCTGATTGGCCGTCCGCTCAAATGTCATTCGTTGTAAATGGCATTCGAGTTCCCCGTGTGGCACGGGTATTAGAGCACATATTACGGAAAAGGTGCAGTGAAACCATGGTTGCGGTGGCACGTGAAGAGACATCTAGGCCGTCGAAGTGAATCACCGGTCCTCCACTGGGGCGCGGTAGATGCCCTTCGTTGGCTTGGCATGTAAGACATCCACATTTAATTATTTTATTTTGACCCAATAAGTCCCCTTCCAGATTTTTTTCCACAACAAGTTCAACCATTAGGGACCCTTAACATACAATCGTTTAACCAACGGTAGTGAAATGGAAGTACAATGCTCATTACAACCACTTCAACGTTCACCTTCATCTCTGACGCATCCTGACATCGCTACAGAAACACTCTGGTTCAGTGTCGTGAAAGTGAACGTAAATATTGCACTACTCTGAACTTGAAAGCCTACAAAGCTCGTATTATCGGGAAAATGTGTATTTTCTGTCCAGGATTTCACGGACCTTACACGACCATTGCCAAATCCGTAGACTTGCGAACCTTTTTTATTGGAACTGTTTACTGTGCTTGAATACGTATTGTTTATTAACAGATCCCATTCCCACATCAACACATTTTTGTATTTCTTTTTATTGCTATTTCTGCCGCTTCCAGGCATCCTCTGTTGTTTATACACTATATAATACGACAAAGGAAAGGTTCTCGCAGCCAAATGTCAGCAGGTAACTGCGACAGGGGTAGCTGAACGAGTTCTCGAGCATATCTCATTTAGAACAAAAAAGAGAAGCACCTACAGCACTCCGCAGTAGGAGAACACTTCGGTGAAACGTTGTGGAGGTGCCTCGCTTCAACGCGCTGATTGGCTCGCCGAAGTCGTAGCATTCACCGTTTTCCAGGTTACAGCAAAACGTAATATAGCCAAGTGTGTCGGAATGCCCGCCTGATCATTCTGGCGTACTCTCTTTTATCACCTGGTACGGAAACAAAATGACGCGATCGCGAGCTCTCTGCTTCTCGCTTCAAAGTAGGCTAAATAGAAGCGAGATCTTTCTGGGTGAGATTACGCTTCCGGATAACAGGTGTCGTATGCTTCTATCCTTCCTGGAATCTCAATTTTACTTTGATCTCCGATCTATAGCTGGTAGTACTGGGCAGCATGGTGATCCAGAGTGTTTGACCGGGTTGCCCGCATGTTCAATCGTGTCTCGTGATTTTTACCGCGAAGTGGCTAAGCGTAATTGTCCGCGCGAGCTACGCTCCACCGTTGATAAAAGGCCGGTGTAGAAGTATGCGCCGGGCCTTTTGGGCCGGAGCGCGCGGCGTGAACAGTCAATACATTACTATGTATTGTTGAACGAGTACGTTGAGTCATATTCTGAGGTAGGCAGCAGCGAGGAAAATACTACAGAGTCGAATCTTAAAATGCACCCAAGTTCATTATTTTCTTCTAATAGCATTTACATGCTGGAGTAGTCGGTTGTTTCGAGTAAAAGGGACTGACCTATACGAGGGCCTCGCCAGATGATTAGTAATTTTTTTTCGAGCATTTAAATTGTACCAAAAATGTGGTTGCCCACTCTCTAGAACTCGACTTCTATTACCGCTGGTCGGCGTTTCCAGCTCGTCCTTGGTCGCCGTTGCTTCGGCAGCTTTCTCGAGATCAGCCGCGGTCAGAAGTGTCGCTGCAGCCTTGAACCTGCCCGTGGGGAAGACGGTGGTCATCCGCCGTGCCGTGTTCCATTTGCTGAGGATCTCGGCCGTTCTCTCAATGGCGGGGTCAACCTTGGGAGCTGCTGAGAGTGGAAACGTTGGAGGGTAAACTCTTCGTCGAGCTTACTGGTACATAGCAATTTTCACGCTTGCGGGCTCAGTGGAAATGGTTCGTTAATACGACAAAAAAGAAATAGAAAGGGAGTGAGGTCAAGCCAAAGAAACGACAAACACGTTATAAGTCGAAATAGGCGCCTCTGATGCCTTTGCAGACCCGGTATGTCGATGCGCCGGTGGTAGCCCTATCATTCGGTGGCGTGACTATGCGCGACAGCGTGGACAGCGCCATGCGAATACGTTTTCTCGGGTACAAAGTGCCCCCACCGCTATGGAAGAGTTTGGTGCTGCAAGTATGCAGTCTACTTCAAATGCGCATAGTGTTATATATATGTAGCAGACGATTTTTGAGAAAGGGAGAAGAGGAGCTCGAACGAGGTTGAGCTTGGGGAGCGAGCTTAGAGCTGCGACAGCTCCCGGATAAAAAATAAAAAGAAATTGGGTTGTGTGTATGTTTATGCAGCCTTGAACTTGGTCTGCCTCAACGAGCAACGAGTCCCCCAGCTGTTGGCGAAAACTTCAGCCAGTGCAGTACAACCGCTAGCCTGGGGTTTTTAACGTGCACCACGCAGTAGGAGTACATGACCGCGCGACGGTACAATGCTTATCCAGATCGAAACGGGAAAGGATGGGGATTGAGCACAGGATCCTTCAGTTCTGCAGCGCGAGCATTTGCTCCACGTGCTCCGAGCTTGTGTGCGCTATACTTCGGATCATCTGATCATAGACTAACTGTCAAGGCTGTGCAAGCGCAAACGGCTAGTCTTAACTGCCTTGACGGGAGCCCTCGCTGCACGAGGGCTCGTGCAGCCACCGAGGCTTCATCCACAGCAACTAGCTCGAGCTTTTAGCATGTGCGGCTAGCAATAGTCCATGCTAAGGTGGAATGAAGTATAGCCCACCCAGCCCCCGATCCCCCCCACAGATGCCGAGCAGATCGAACGTGTATAGACTTCTTTTTTTTTTTTTTTAAGGGCGCAACAATCTTGAGGATTGCGGCGCCGACAATGCCGTCTCCTGCTTAAAACTTGAAATATCGGCTAGTTCTGACAGCACAGCTATCTGGGTTGGCGACGGTGTGGGTATGGGAAGAACTTGGCTAGACTTGGCTATGAGGGTTTGCGAGTTGAATCCAGCTGGCTAGTGACAGGCCGCCAACTTGCCTCCTCGAATGAACGAGGACGAAGACGGTGGAGTGTTATGATTGAGTTTCCACAACAAAGTGTATATGAGCAGTTTAATGTAGTCTACGCAGCTAAGCTCTCCGTATTTGATAGCTGCATCTTGAGTTGTGGCATGCAAACTTTTTCATACCCTTCACATGCCATGGGGCTTGTAGTGATAACCTAATTCGAGTATCTGCACCGGGTCGATATCAGTCCTTTTGTCGTAGACGAAGTAGTCGTGAGCCTAAACGTGACATAGAGTCTGATACAAAGCCCTCGCGATTCACGCTGGCAACCGATTAACTTCATAACTAACAATTATTGGGGAAAATTTGAAGCTCACTAACATTGCAGCCACACTCGCGCTAGAGCTTCTTGTGCTCACGGCAAACGTTCTGCTATTTCTTATGCTTGCTAAAACTATTTGCGCACCCGACGATGAACCAGTGAGAGCCAGACAACTGTAGATTTTTGGAAATTGTAATACGGTAAAAAAGAAGCACTCTGATCTAACTCATGCACGACGTCCGTTTCTAAACTTTTTCGCCAATTACCTTGGCGGTCGCATACTGTGTCAGATGACAATACGAAACACGCTGGAATGAGGCTATGCCAAAAAAGTTTTTATATATCAGTACATATCAACAATGTTAGGAGGAAAACTTCGTTTCCTTCAATAGACTATTTCCGAAAGTCAGTCTACCCACCCTGTGCAGAGCCACACCCAACACTCTAATGGCGGCACTACACAGCTTCTCCACACCAGAAAAAGCAATCGTCTTCGAAAGCATAGGGCAGAAAGGGGAAAAAATGTTCGTCTATTTACGCCACCTTCGACTCACGAAGTCGGGGGTCCTTGATTTAGCCGAGCATGATCTCCTAGCACAGCCATTAGAGCATAAGTATTGCAGCTTTTGGGACTGCAACAAGCCAACTCTGTCTTTTGAAAAGGATATTCGTGCTCCTCTACTTTACCTCTCGACAGTCGGCTGCTACACATTATTCTTTAAAAAAAGTGAAAGCCGTTTACAACTTCCTGTAACGCCGAATTGGAGCGCAGCTCTTGAGGAGGAGGAGTGGAGGGTATATTCCTCCTCCTCCCTCGTGGTCATGCCTGCTAGTCCTCCTCCCCTCCTGCTCCCCCTCCCTCTCCTTTACCACCTCCTCGTCCTTCAAGCTCCTCCCCTCCCCTCGCCTCCGCCTCCTCGTCTCTCCTCCCCCCCTCCTCCACCTTCGTAATGCTTTCCTCCTTGCCGCTCAAGCCGGACAATGAGGGGAGGAGGAGGAGAAGGAGGGGGAGGAGGAGGAGGGAGAGGAGGAAGAGGGGGGGAGGAGGAGGGGAGGAGAAGAAGGGGGAGGAGGAGGGGAGGAGGAGGGGAAGAAGGAGAGGGAGGAGGAGGAGAGGGAGGGGCGCGGTTACGCCGACGCCGACGCCGACGCCGACGCCGACGCCGACGGCGACGCCGACGCCAACGGCGACGCCGCTCAGGCTGGAAACGGGCCCCTAAGAGCTGCGCTCTAAAACACGAAAGAATAAATTATTTCGGGAAGGAGACAGACAGTACAGTTCGTTCATGTACTGAACTGTACTGTCTGTCATCGTCTCTACACGGTTTATTATTTTGCGTTTTAGAGCGCAGCTCTTAGGCGCCCGTTTCCGGCTTGAGCGGCGTCGCCGTCGCCGTCGGCGTAACCAAGGTCACTTCAAGGTCACGTGACCCCCAAGGTCACCCCAGGGTCACGTGACCTCGCAAGTCACGTGACCCCCAATTCACGTGACCCCCCAATTCACGTGTCCCTCCGCCCCCAAGGTCACGTGACCCCCCTCCCCCCAAAGTCACGTGACACCCCCCCCCCCCCCCCCGGAGGTCAGGTAACCCCCCGGAGCATATTAAAGAATGAGGGGAGGAGGAGGAGAAGGAGGAGGGGGAGGGGTCTACCCTCCCCTTAGTACCTTTCCCTCCTCCTCCTCAAGAGCTGCGCTCCAATTCGGCGTTGGCTTTCACTTTTTTAATATCATGTTCACCAACCCGTTCTATTTAATATTTTGTAATGTATTCTCCCAGGTAAAGTGTTTGGACGAAATATGACATGAAATCTTCACCAAATAATTTCAACGAAATGATGTTATACGCGTAATCCCGTTGCACATTTCTCTTATGTAAGATTATTGCAAGTAACCACGTCTATAAAACCTTTGTTTTGCATATTTATAGAATAACAAGAACGAGATCTTTAAGCACTGTGCTTCCGTCGTAAATATTGACGTGAGGGCATCACGGTCATAGGACGTCATTCTTATTTCTGCCCTCTTTTAGGCCGGCCCACTTGTTGGTGTTAGACTAATGGCCGCTGATAAAACCCGTTTGCTCTACTGACGTCCAACTCCCAGTTAGCTCAATTGCTAGAGCGCTCCACTGGAAATGGAGAGGCCTCGGGTTCGACAGCAGGACCAGGTGGATATTTTCGGTCGCGCAACGGTCTCCTTGCTGTGTTTAGAGATTGTGTTTGCCCTTTGTCCCTATTGTTCTCCTTCTCCAGGGATTATTTCCGGTATTCTTGTCCAGCTTGCTTGCGCCTTTGAATAAATTGCATTATCATCATAACCTTAAAATGCAGGCCGTTCACCCTTCTTGCTGTTAGACTGGTGGCAGCTAATAAAACTTTTTCTCTGCAGACGTCTAACTCCTCGTTAGCTTAGTTGGTAGAGCACTTCACTGTAAATATAGAGGTCCCCGGTTTGATACCAAGAGCGGGTCAATTTTTCCGGTTGCACACCGGTCACCTAGCTGTGTTTGGAGATTTGTGGTTTTCCTTAGTTCCCCTTGTTCCTCTTTTCCTGGGATTATTTTTGGCATTCTTGTGCAGCTCGCTTGCCCCCTTGCATTAATTGCATTATCATCAACACTTTTAAAGCGGAACTCCCCAATATTTTTATAGAATTTGATTTGACTGGAAATTAATAGACCACACAATAAATTTTTCTCAACTGATGAGCAAAGTATTTTATAAAAAAATTAATATTTTCCGTAGAGTTATAAATCACGCCGGCAGCAAGAGTTACAGGAGGTGACTTTCTACTGGAAACGATAAAGAATTCATACTCATTCCTACCCGCGTACGTTACCCACGGGAAAGCGGAGGACTGACCCGTGAAATCGTGAAGCGTCTTTCCCGTTCGTCAGCGATCTACACTATTTTGTAGCTGCTTCCGGGTTGAAAGTTATTCTGGAATGGGTAGCAATTTGCGCTCCGCGGTAGATTTAACGAACAGTAGCGGAAAAGGCTTCTTTTTTACTCTTGTTTTCGAGGGTGTTAAATTGCGCTCCCCAATAGCAGTGGAGGCCGAGGCACGTCCAGGGCCGGTTTTCTCGAGCAATGGTAAACCCATCTTGGTAAACCACGGTGCCTTGGAAGGAAAAAGTACCTAGGTACTGTAATAAACGGCTGGATATAGAACAACAATAATTATTTTTGATTGGGCAGTAAGATGCGCCATCTATCGGTGAAAAAAGCCAGTCATTTTGTTTATCCTTTTTTCCGCTGGTTTTTGTCGATCTAGTAGTGTATTTTAAGTCAAAATATAGTAATGTAGTACTTGAAGACCAATTTATTTGCTTCCGATGGTACGAAGAAATTTTAGCTACTATGCCATAGTTTGTCGAGGAATATTCGAAAATGTAAGAAACACTTCCTTCAATATGTTTCGCCATAAACAACGTATAACTTCCCCGTGTTCCCTCCAGTCTGGCAACACCGGTGCTGTAGTCTCGTTTTTGTTCCTTGCGACGCACGTT